CACTATCACCGACGTCATCAGCCCAGTCATGGTCCATCTGTCCCTGCCCCATTTCATGAGAATCCATCCAGTCTTCCATTTATCCCTGCTGAAACCCATCTCCACCAGTCTTCTGTGCCCACCTCCGCCTGCCCGGCACATTGGCGGTCGCCTGGTGTACCAAGTTCGCAGGCTCCTTGATGTGCACTGCCGGGGTCGGGGAGTACAGTACCTGGTGGACTGGGAAGGATATGGGCCCGAGGACCGCTCATGGATTCCTCGGTCCTTCATCAAGGATCCTGCCCTCATCAGGAACTTCGAGGCTTCTCGTTCTGCCTCCTCCTCCTCTGCTAGGCCGCCAGGTGGCATCCATTGAGAGGGGAGTACTGTCACAGTCTGGGTAAATCTCCTGTGTTTCTTCCTGAATTGTGTCTGCAGGTGGGTGTGGTTGAGATTCCCCAGCTGTTGGGCATCTACATCAAGGCACCAGGGTACTTAAGGAGCAGCGCAACACCACTCCACGCTGGATGATTACTCAGTTTGGGTAGATCCGACCGCCAGTCTAAACTTGACCAGTAATCTGTTTGTTGAGATTTAACCAGTTTTTTTCCGCTCTGCTCAGGTCCTCATCTCTACCTCCAACCCCTGCAACAAGAACCCTGGATCTTCAAGTCACGTCTCGCTGGTCTGCCCTGGTTGCCTGCACTCAGTCCCCCACCTGCTTCCATCCGTCAGTCACCTGCTGTTTCTCCCCCGGGGTCCCCCCCGGCCGTTGGATTATCTGCTCACCCGGACCGGACTCCCATCTCCTCCTGCTCCCCTCCTGACTTCTATCATTATTCCTGCTACCCCGCAGCTCCTTCAGTTCCTGTTCATCATCCTACTCACCTGCAACATTTTTTGAGTCTCAGTCCTCTCATTAGTTTTAATAAATGTATTTTCCCCTCTTACCTTCTGTCTCCTTGTGTTGGTTCTGTATGTCGTGGGTCAAACACCTAGTACCCAACATGACAGTATGATGACTTTGATGAAGGTGATGCGGTACTTCTTTTATTACCAGATTTGACTGCGGCCTTGACACATTTGAACATGCCATTTTTAGCAAGATCAATGGGTAGGGATTACTGCAGTGGCTGTACAGAGGGTGAAATCTTACCAAATAGATAGAAGTTTCTGTGTTAGTATGGACCATTTCTCATCCTCCTGCTTGGACTTCCCTTGGGAGGTTCTGCATGGGATCCATCCATGGCCCCTTCTTTTCTGCCTCAAGTTCCTGCCTATTGAGATGCTTTTTTGGGGAACATGGAGTTAAATTTCAACTCTATGCTGCTGAGTTTTAAGTTTCTTTCCACTTGCGGTGAAGGACTACAGGCTCACTTTAACTTTTGTTGGACTGCCTGGTGGGTATTAGAACTTGGAAGGGGTATAACTTTCTAAAGCTCAATGACAAAAAGACTGAGGTCATAGTTTTGAACCAAGTGATAGACTTGTTAAGGGACACAGGGTTGATGTTAGATTGTGGCACCCTATAAGAGGGACATTGTTTCTAATCTGGCTCTTAAACTGGACTCATCACTTGAACTGCACGGCCAGATAAAAGGGATTGGGGCAATGATGGCTCAGAGGTTAGGAGTTCATCCTGTAAATGGTGGGTTGCCAGTTTGAACCCAGGCTCCATCAGTGTCAGTTGTGTTGCTGGGCAAGACAATACAACCAACGTGCCTGCTATTGGTGGTTAGTGGGACCGGTGGTGCCTGTGTACAACAGCCCCACTGTACGGTGTCAGTGTGTCCCATAACGGTGGGCCAGGAAAGGACGCATTCTTGTTTGAGGACCTCAAGGACTATTGTTTGTATGACAAGGTGTCATTCCTTTTCTAAGTATGCTTTTTTTTGTTTGATCAACAAATAAGAAACCCAGATACTCCTCACTGATTTCCCACAAAATAATCTGGAGAGACACCTGACCTGAATATTTTGGTCTTGACTTTGAATACAGTCAAACAATTACGACAACATTCTTAAGTGTACAATGGCAGGAATATTTCCTTTACGACTTCTATAAACTCTCCTAAGGTTGTCACTTGAGTTGGCCAAAATAAACTGGTTTAGCTCCAGTTATTACATACCTCATCATCAATAGATAAAGAAAAACACGGATATTGGACATTTGCAAAACCTGAAACCATGACTTCATCATAACATCACAATGCACGCACACACACACGCACGCACGCACACACACACACAGTGAGGTGAGCTGTATTCATCCAGAATGACTTTAATGTCACAAACCTGTGTTGTTTTCATCACTTCCACAAACAAAGTTGCAGATAAGAATGTGTTTGCTTAAAAACAGGCAGTGAAACTAAACCACAATAATTTTCGGCGTCCACAAGGCTGCAGGTGTCATCACAGCTTCACGCTCTTTCCTTCAGATTACAATCATGGTTTTAAATACAAAGTCATCATAGAAATATTAACATCTGGCAGAGACTGAAACTGATTCAGAGAGGACACAGTGGCAGCTTACCACTGTAATATTTCCTTTCAATATTTAAATTTTAAAGAAATACTGGAATCTAGTAACTAGCCTAAGTCTTCATTTAAGTCAGTCAATTATTTTTTGTGATGCACCCCTAGGATACATGTAACTTTTTGCAAAAAGTCATCAGCAGGGGATCTGAAGGACTCATAGCTGTGATTATTTTAAAATAAAGTTTCAGCTCAAGTACAGATTTTTAGTTTTATACATCCCAAAACTACAAGAATCCTTTGTCATGAGTTCAGAGGAGCTAGCATGTTGTTTTGGACAGATTTATTGAACTCTGCTGTGTGATCACAGACGCCTGTGTGTCTAGAGTCAAGTTATTGTATCGAGTCATCAAATAGACGGTTTTCTCCAGGAACCAACCTGGCAAGACCCCACCATAGATATGATGAGTTCTGAAATAGTGCGAGACAAATGTGTTTATTTATCCTTTCACCAAAAATGTCTTCATTTATAGTGTGAATTGTGTTCTGTAGTCTGCAGAGAAAAAAACCTGTAACCAAAAGCTGGAAGTTCTGAGGAAAACAACAAACCTCTGACCCTGTTGGATTTGTCCTTTAAACTGCATGTTGTCAGGTGGAAAACTGACTCTAAACCAGCTACAGCTGGTCAATAAATCAGTTTTATACATTTAAACATGATGTTTATAAATGATTTTATTTTTGGGAAGATAGGACTAGGTGCCACTTGTGCCCTTCCATAGTTCAGAGTAAGGTTAGACCACACGTCTCTCTTAACACATACAACACTGCTTGACTGAAGCGCTCCACATGAATGTTGTCCCACAAAAACACTGACTTAATGTTAAGCTGCCGTTACAGCACCTTGTCTAGACGTTCACTAAAACCCGCTACTGCCAGATAGTTAGCTCCGCTGCTAGCTGTTCTCATCAGTTTTCATTCACGGAACCGAAGGAGCTTTTCTCTCCCGTACCGAACACTCTGGTTCAATCCGGTTATAAAGCACTCATGCAGCTAGTTCAGAGTTGGGCTACTGAAACACGCTGGTGAATAGTTTTGGTCTATACAACACAGAACTAGCTTTAGCACACTAGCACCAACATCAACTTAGCTAACCAAAACATTAGCAAACTGCATTACTATCCTAACTGTGGTATGTAATGTACGAAAGCTGTTTTGGTGACTGGAATATGGTAAATGTGGGGCTGTCAATTCTCACGCATTTGGCCCACTTCACACGCCACACCTCCAATATCTCACGATGATCAATCAACACCCCTCCCACTATGACGGTCAGTTAACAGGTAACAGGATGAAACCCTCCACGCGCAATCGCCTGCTCTGACGGTCAGTGAACAGGGCGAAACCAGCCCCCTGTATGGGGCCTGTATTTGATATAGCGCTTTTTAGAGTTCTACACACACACATACACATACATGCACACAAAATATTTAACAGTTGTACATTTAAATGTTTGTTCATAAGTGTGGGTGATACTGTATATCAGTTAGCACAGAATCAGTCCAAGCCTGACTCGCATTTGAATCCCACCCATTTGAGATGTTTTTACTGCCAGAAAAGCGGTTTTGAGTCGGTGTCATCATTATGTCTTGTTTTACAAGCAGGTTTTACAGCTTACCCCGCTTTCCACTGGCCGTGAAAGTGGTAGCGTAACGTAACAGTGGCGTTTTACCCGTGAGCTCAATCTCAACCGGGAGCAATTCTGTGACGTGAAACGGGAGTGAAAGCGTTCCACACAGCTGATCCCGTTAGGTCACAAAATCACGGGAGAACTGCAACACAACGTGTGATTTCAGAAGTCCACTCAATAATGAGCAAGCAGAAAGACAGCTGCATGTATCAAAAAAAGTCAGTGGTTAATTTTTTGTTCTGTTTACATTGGCTACGAGGGTTATACCATAAAATTACATACATTTACATGCATGTGACTTTTATTTTGAAAGTTTCAAGATGGGTTTTACACTGCTTTTGAGTTTGACTCCCTGTTTGGCAATCTAAACAGCGGCGTTTGTTTTGGAAGCGAAGTGCGGAAAAAATAGACTCGAAACATAATGATAGCGTGCTCTGGCTTCTGGGGTGCGTCCAAATCGTCACACTTCGCTGCCGTTGGAAAGAACTCATCCACTATAACGGCGGCTCGTTGCAGCGTAGTGCGTTTTGTAGCCGTTTCGTGAAGCTTTCTCATGCAGTGGAAAGGAGGAGTTAGTTTGGCTTTGGATGCAGAATAACACTCAAAAGGGACAACTAAAATAAAAAGGCTTTTAAAAAATATGTCCTGTTCATAATTTCTATTTAGAGAAGGAAAGCAAGGAAGAAATTTGAATGAAGTCAGAAATCGAATGTGTAATGCAAAAATTTAAATTTTAAGCCTTATCGCCCAGCCTTACCAGTAAGTAAAATCTGTATGGCTAATGCTGCTCATCTGTCCACCTGCAGCACATGCCAGCAGAAAGCTGAACCCTCCTATGATTGAGTAGATGGGTTTCTTACCGGTCTTTGAGGTCCAGTAGGTTCTGACTCTCTCCGTCGAGGACGTCCTGATGGCAACGAGTGACAAGGCGACTGGGCGGGGCTCCCACAACTCCTTCTTGAGGCCTCCTCTTCCGTTAGTGTTAGCATCCCCCGGCTGTTCTCCCGGGTTTGAGTCTTTGGACGGACCACCAGTTCGCCGCCTGCAGGAAAACCCAAAGAATTTTAAACAACTGTCGACTGGAACGTAAAATCTGAGATGCATGTAAAGTGACAGAGGGAGAGAGAAAAATGAGGAGCCTCTCATAATCACATACAGCCGGGTGCGAATGTTTGTTAATCTTCATGATTTTCCTGTATAAATCATTGGTTGTTATGATAAAAAACTTCAGTTGAATAAATCCTATAGGAGACACACACACTGATGTTTGAGAAGTGAAACAAAGTTCATAGAATTTACAGAAATAATTGTTTAAACAACATAAGGCAGATGAATAAATTTGGGCACAGTTGTCATTTTATTGATTTCAAAATCTTTGGAAGTAATTAATGGGATTATAAATTGGTTTAGTAAGTTCAGTGACCCTTGACCTCTATACACAGGTGAATCCAATTATGAGAAAGAGTATTTAAGGGGGTCAATTATATGTTTCCCTGCTATTTGAATATTCTCTGAAGAGCAGCAACATGGAGGTCCCAGAACAACATGTCTCTCATGAGCTGAAAACAAAGATTATTCACCATCATGGTTTAGAGGAAAGATTCTTCTTCCGGCTTTTGGAGAGTACAGACGCTTTTTTCTCCTCTACCTCCCTCCTTATCCCAAGATTCTTTGCCCTGCCTGTGCACGGTGCTTTCTGCATTTTTTTCTGGAAGCTGGAAATTATTAAAAATGGATCTGGTCAGTTGGTCTCTCAATGCGATAGACAAAATTTTTTCAACGATGAGAACAGAAGACAGGGATCCCGGATGCCCCTCTGGGACAGAGCCAGCTGGGTATATCATGGGACTCCTGGAAACAGTGGAACCTGATCTGCCTCTCTCAACTGCCTGTAGAGGATTCTGAAGACGTTTGGATATTCATCGTTTTGGTGTCGGGATTCCTGCTGTTAAGCCTGAGCGGTTACCTGGCTTACCGGAAAATTAATGAGCTTTCAAGGAATATTGGCTCAATCCCGGAGCTCAGGGATGGGATGCATCGTACTGTGAACGCACAAACTCATATAATTGTCGAGATGAGTCGTAAGCTTGGAACTTTGGCTGAGATTCAGGCTCTGGCACAGAAGGTGGATTCCATCAAGGAGCGAGTGGACGGATCAGCACGGATTGGGATAGATTAATTTACGCCATTATTGGATCTAGACGGGTTGAAGACCAACAGAACACTAAGGCAGAGCGGAAATTATCTCTGCCTGTGCCCAAAACCATTTTTATCTGAATCTGGTGCCCTTGGAGCCTGTGAGGCTGAAGTGAGAACTCCCCCCTCAGAAGAAATGTGGGATGCTGCTGTCGCTATGGAAACTCTTTCTCCCTATCTCAGCCTGGGCGGGACTGTGACCGGTGAAGGCCATGGAACCGTATCTAGGAGTCATTGTGCTCTCTAACCCATTATCTCCCTCCAATGTCCAAACGGAGGTGGTGAGCGCTGCTCTTGCGGCTGCACGCACTGAAGTGAGGAGAGTCGCAACCCTACCGCCCCACAGATGCAGATGGAGTCTCTGTGCACCGTTCAACTATTCGGTGCACTTTACACAAGGAGATGCTGTATGTGGGAGTGATGCAGAGGAAGCCTTTTCTCCATCCACAGCACAAACAGAGCTGCTTGAGGTTTGCTAAAGCACATTTGGACAAGGCAGCTTCATTCTGGAATATGGTGCTGTGGACTGATGAAACTAAAATGGAGTTATTTGGGCATAAAAAGGGACGTTATGCATGGAGGAAGAAGAAGCCAGCATTCCAAGAAAACACCTGCTACCTACAGTAAAACATGGTGGTGGTTCCATCATGATGTGGGCTGTGTGGCCAGTGCAGGGACTGGGAATCTTGTTAAAGTTGAGGGACGCATGGATTCCACTCAATATCAGCAGATTCTAGAGACCAATGTCAGGAATCAGTGACAAAGCTGAAGCTGCACCGGGGCTGGGTCTTTCAACAAGACAACGACCCTAAACACTGCTCAGCATCTACTAAGGTGTTCATTCAGAGGAACAAGTAGAACGTTCTGGAACGGCCATCTCAGTCCTCAGACCTGAATATTGTTGAACATCTGTGGTGTGAGTTAGAGAGCTGTCCATGCTCAGAAGCATCAGACCTGAATGAACTAGAGATGTTGTGTTATTGAAGAATGGTCCAGAACACCTTCAGCCAGAATCCAGACTCTCATTGGAAGCTTTAGGAAGAGTTTAGAGGCTGTTATTTCTGCAAAAGGAGGATCTACTAAATATTGAGGTCATTCCTTTTATTGCAACGATTTATACAGGAAAATCATGAAGATTAAGCCATTATGCTTTATCTATATTGCACATTTAAATGGCAACGTCATTACCCCAAAGTGCTGCTCAACAGTAATAGTAATAAAAACAAATAAAGCATTATAAAATATAACCACAGGCAACTAAGACAGAATATATAGCACAAGTTTATAAATCCTAAAACAACAATAAAAAAATCACAGATAAATAAAAAAAAAATTAAGAGATGTAAGCGAAACTTGCAGCCACTTAAAGTATCTTTAGTTTAGTTTCCGGAGTTTTCTCCTTTCAGAAATTATGTAGGACTTTTCAGAAATCTGTAAAACTGATTATAGTGAGGTTTACTATAATACAGCGGTTCCCAAACTTATTTAGCCGCGCACCCCCTTCTATGTCCCGACCATGTCGACACCCCCCCCAGCCCCCACATCAGGGCATGGCTATATATATACAGTTGTGGTCAGAAGTTTAATACACTTGTAAAAAATATAATATAATGGCTCTACTGAGTGTCCCGTTATTTCTAAAACTCAGATTTTTCTCTGATAGAGTGATTGGAACAGATACTTCTTTGTCACAAAAAACATTCATGAAGTTTGGTTCTTTAATGTCTTTATTATGGGTTAACAGAGAAAAGTGATCACATTTGCTGGGTCACAAATATACATACAGCAGTGCTAATATTTGGTTACATGTCCCTTAGCCATTTTCACTTCAATCAGGCACTTTTGGTAGCCATCCACAAGCTTCTGGCAAGCTTCTGGTTGAATCTTTGACCACTCCTCTTGACAGAATTGGTGAAGTTCAGTTAAATTTGATGGCTTTCTGACATGGACTTGTTTCTTCAGCACTGTCCACATGTTTTCAATGGGGTTTAAGTCAGGACTTTGGGAAGGCCATTCTAAAACCCTTATTCTAGCCTGATTTAGCCATTCCTTTACCACTTTTGATGTGTGTTTGGGGTCATTGTCCTGTTGGACCACCCAACTGCGCCCAAGACCCAACCTTCGTGCTGATGATTTTAGGTTATGTTGAAGAATGTGAAGGTAATCCTCCTTCTTCATTATCCCATTTACTCTCTGTAAAGCACCAGTTCCATTGGCAGCAAAACAGCCCCACAGCATAATATTCCCACCACCATGCTTGACTGTAGGCATGGTGTTCTTGGGGTTAAAGGCCTCACCTTTTCTCCTCCAAACATATTGCTGGGCATTGTGGCCAAAAAGCTCGATTTTTGTTTCGTCTGACCACAGAATTTTCCTCCAGAAGGTCTTATCTTTGTCCATGTGATCAGCAGCAAACTTCAGTCGAGCCTTAAGGTGCCGCTTTTGGAGCAAGGGCTTCCTTCTTGCACGGCAGCCTCTCAGTCCATGGAGATGCAAAACACGTTTGACTGTGGACAATGACACCTGTGTTCCAGCAGCTTCTAATTCTTGGCAGATCTGCTTTTTGGTGATTCTTGGTTCACTCTTTACCCTCCTGACCAATTGTCTCTCAGCAGCAGGTGATAGCTTGCGTTTTCTTCCTGATCTTGGCAGTGATGAAACAGTGCCATGCACCTTATACTTACAATCGTTTGCACTGTTGCTCTTGGGACCTGCAGCTGCTTTGAAATGGCCCCAAGTGACTTTCCTGACTTGTTCAAGTCAATAATTCGCTTTTTCAGATCCATGCTGAGCTCCTTTGACTTTCCCATTGTAGCGTTTGTGGGCGTTTGTATCCAATGAGCCCTATTTACCTGGCCTAAGAGAAGTCACCAGCTGTAGTCACTCATAATCACTCACAAGAAGTTAAGAGGCCATGCTATGAAGCTCAATTCACTGACACGTTTCTAAGTCACCAAAATTGCTAGATCATGTTGCTGTATGTATATTTGTGACCCATCAAATGTGATCACTTTTCTCTGTTAACCCATAATAAAGACATTAAAGAACCGAACTTCATGAATGTTTTTTGTGACAAAGAAGTATCTGTTCCAATCACTCTATCAGAGAAAAATCAGAGTTTTAGAAATAACGGGACACTCAGTAGAGCCATTATATTATATTTTTTACAAGTGTATGTAAACTTCTGACCACAATTGTATATATATATATATATATACACATACAGGAAGCCAGTGGAGGTCAGTCAGTACGGGGGTGATATGGTCATATTTTCTTGTCCCTGTCCGAAGGCGAGCTGCTACATTCTGGACATTCTGTAAGTGACCTAAAGTTGCCTGTAGTAAGCGGATGTATACTGCATCACAATAGTCTAGCCGAGAGAAGATCATGGCATGAATTAAGGTCTCAAAAAGGTCACGAGGAGCATAGGCCTAGTGAGTAACCTCAGCTGGAAGAAACTAGATTTCACCACCGCGCTGACCTGATCTGAAAACATGGCACTTGAGTCAAAACAACCCCCAGATCCCTAATTGTTAACGAGGCTGCACACACATCCAGCCCGCCAGACCTTTCCACCCTGTCTCCCAACCCTTTGGGCCCTAACATCCCCCAACTGAGAGCTTTTGAAGATTGGCAGCAAAATTCATGTCCCAAATATACACAATTGTTCACATTCTCCAAACACGACTAAAACTACAATCAAAACAGTTCAGATGGAAAACAAAGCCATTTTAAATATTATTAAATCAAGATACAATAATACGTGAACTTTATTCTAAAAGAGCATCTGGCCATCACGGCAGCTGCTGGAAAAAACCCAGGACACAAACCATATCAGAGGAAGAGTGGGGACAAATGTGCAAGGGCTTTAATCCTGAGTAGCTCTGGCTGATCCAGAGTTCCTTTTTCAGATTAAAATATCTCAAACAGCAAATAACGAAATGATTTCTGAAGCTGAAGAATCTTAGCTGGAGGTGTGTGCACAAAACCCGACCTGGCACCCACGCTTCTCACAATCAAATCTGCAACCAGCCCGACTCATTGGTTTAAAATCCCAGTCCCAAGACCCGGACCCAGACAATACCCTGTGTTCTTCATCATTACCACTGACTGTATATTTCATGAACTGACCCTTCGTGACATCACATGTAAGCTTCTGAAGAGTTGAACTGAAGCAGTTGTCACCTCATGTGTCTCATCACTTCCGGGAAATACAAAGTGAAGCTGAGAGCAGGGATGTGAGAGTGGGAGCTGTTGATCGACACCCATTAAACTCTGAGCTGATGTACCTACGAGCTCACCAAAGCTAACGGCGGCTGGTGGTGGCCACTTTTAGCCAGAAACCAACAGTTGAGCGACTCTGCAACCCTCTGCCTTCCAGGCTGCAAAAGTTTTAACCCTTTTCCTGCCTGCTCAACCAATTGGTAGAGCATTTATTAAGTCCCTACATCACATTGAAGCATTAAATGAAGTTAACAAGAAAAAAAATAGTAAAACAAGAAAATTCTAAATGGAGTTGCTTGAGGAAAAGGCATAGCATTATTACATTGCATTATTGTTGCATTAATATTACTACAATTAGTATATTAATATTATTAATTTACATGAAACTAAAGCCCTTATTGTCCCACATAAAAAAATGCAGAAGTGGAACATTTTTCATTGCGGTTTTCTTGGTGAGGGAGTTAAAGTTTTAACCTGAGTCTTGTGGTGCTCAAACAAGTCACGACAACCTTCTGTGTTCAGTTTAGTAGTGTCAAACTCGTGCATGAGGGCTGTAGAAGAAGAAACAATGTTTTATATGGCGCCTCTTCAGATAAAAATCACGAGACGCTTCACAAAAACAAAAATTTTAATTTATAAAATTCTTTAAAAAAATTTAATAAAAATAAGGAATTTTTTTATTTTTCTGATCAAAAATTGACAAAATGAATAAGAAAAGGTAATCATGGGATCTAGAGAAAGACAGGCACGAAGATAGCTTCCTTTACTCTTCTCTCAAACTTTGAAAGAGTCAAACGGGAAAAGCTTACATCAGAGGAGGAGGCCTCAAGTTTCACCTTTCCAGCATCTACAACGCAGCACTAAACCTGATTCCAAAACAGTTTCAGTCACACTCTTCTGCATCTAATCAAAACAACCATTCCACCACAACAGGGCCTAACGACATCAGTGACTCACTAGGAGGTAGGGAGGAGGGGTATTCATAGGTAGTTTCAGCTCATTAAGCAACAATTGGCACCTACAGTTCATAAGCTTGACTCTCCCATATTCCAGTCACAATCGGCAAAGCGCCATAGATGGGAAGCCCTTCAGATTACCATGACCTGGATGACTTGAGAACCTTCACCAGCATAGAAAAGGTCCTCTACTTCACCACACTGAGGCGTGTCCTCCTTGGTGTGCAACACTGACGCTGCTCACACTGCCTCATAGTTGAACCCGGGCATACACACAGCCTCAGCCGTTTGTTCGTGCAACTCGATCAGGAGAAAGTATTGAAATAACAGATCTACATTCAAGAACCAGGTTTAAAGACACGCTTTAGTGGATTTAATTTAAAGTCATGACAGATTGGTTCAGCTATGCCAATATTACCTCCAGCCCTGATCCTCTTCCTCTCCTCCTGCTCCTCCAGGGGTCGGAGCTCCTCCGGCTCCTCGTCAGTGGTCCCTGACGTTGTCGGATGAAAGTCTCGAAGCTCTGCCTCTTTGTCGATGATCACCCACTCTTTGCTATCAAAGTCTTCCTCCTCAGCCAAAGGGACAGACCGGATGAAAGCATTACTATGAGCTTCCTGGTCGACTGAGGCCACTGACACCTCTTGGCGCCCACTGGCTTGACGATCTCCACGGCAACCAGGATCAACAGACAGCATCTGAGCTGGCTGAGAGGAGTAGACGTGACGAGATGGGGAGCCCAGTATGTCCATCCTAGACCTGAAGGACATGAGATACAAGAAGCATGGTCACATGTTTGCAACTTGGCTAAAACATTCTGCTGAGTCTCAATTTGATCACTGAGATGAGTTAATAAAGTCAACTAAGAGACTTTTTAGTGATGTTTTATGAGTGTGTGCACAAAGCCAAATATTGATGTATTCATTTAACTAAAGGGAGGTGTCAAATCCAAATCACGTGTTTAGGTTTTAGATGGTCAGATTAGGTGAGGATGAGTCCTGATGCCTGTTTGTGCTGAAACCAGCCCCGGCGTTACCCGAGGTCTACAGTCACCTCTGTCCGTAGCCATCGGCATGACCCTCAGCAGCAGACAGGCGGTCCGATTCTGGACTGTTGACTCGACGGTACCGCAAAGGCCGACCCTGACCCGTCGGTGACTCTGGTGCTCCACCTCGAACCGGCGACACCGGACATGTCCCCCGGCCTGCCTCCTCTTCCTGAGCGCCCTAAGAGACAACAAGAAAATCAAACAGCTTACACACAGACATAAACCACTGGAGGGCCAGTCATGCAACAAGGGTGTTTATGAAAAACAATCTGTACAGTGAAGTAATGAGAGCAAAGTTGAACTTTGAGAAGCTAAAAGAGTAAAATAAGAACCACGTGTTCATTTCATTTATTTTTACAGGGTTTCCTGTAAGGGTAGAATGCCTTGTCTGGGTCAGGGATGAGGTCCTGCCCCAAGTGGAGGAGTTTAAGTATCTTGGGGTCTTGCTCACAAGTGAGAGATGTGTTTTAGTTCTTGTTATTTTATATCTTACTAGTTTGCGTGCCCGTGCACAAGTGCGGATTATACAAAGGGGCGTGACATTGGATGCAGACGGTGCACGGAACCGAACCGGAACTGCTCAGAATACGGCTGCAGTGTTTTAAAAAGGTAATCCAAGCAAGTTCTAAATTGAATACGGCCACTTCTGCCTTTGATTTTCTTGTTTTGTACTTGGAACTTTGGCGCTAAAGGCTTGTTGGCTAAAAGGTTAGCTTAACAATTGAGCTGCCGATTGCAGCATTTAGAATCGTAGGATGTCCAAGGAAGATTCCGCCTTTCTAACCACTGATTGGCTGGAAGGGCTCTCCTCCGATCGGTTATTTCATGTAAGAGGAAACTGTCTCCCGCGCCGCAGGTTTTTATATTTACAGTCAGATCTGGAGGATTTTTAAAAAAAGAAAATGTGAACTCATCGCTATGATAACCTTTCTGTCACCTAACCCTAACCAACAAACCAGTTTCAGTTTCTTTAATAAAATAACCTGAAAACATCAAATGTGAACTTGTAATAAACCTTGTTGAGTTTTATCACACTGTTAGACTGTATCTGTTAGCTCTTTTGGAGTTATGTTATATATATCTGATGTCTTCACTTTAATAGGTTAAGGCTGTTTACAAGAACACATCTCTCATCATCCGTCTAAATGTTCAAAGCTGATTATGATTTAGACCTATTTTTAATGAGTTTCCATTATTCTAGAAGAGAAACTGACCTGCTGCACAAAACTGGGCAAAATAGGGCAGTTTTACTATATTTCATACCCAGGTGAGGCACACACGTTTACTACGTATACTATGTATACAATGTTTAATAAGAAAAAGTAAGTCCAACAGTGTGATAAATGTAACAAAATTTATTATAAGTTCCCATTTTACGTTTTTCAGCAAAAAATATTCAGCAAAACTGGACAGAAAGGTTATTATAGAGCTAATTATAGCAATAGTATCATTGCTACTAAATGAAGTAGCCAATCGTAGTAAATGATAAATGACCCGCATTTGTATAGCACCTCTCAGAGTAAGGACTCCAAAGTGCTTTACACTACAGTGTATCATTCATCCATTCACACACACATTCACACACTGATGGTGATGAGATACGATGTAGCCACAGATGCCCTGGGGCGCACTGACAGAGGCGAGGCTGCCGAGCACTGGCGCCACCGGTCCCTCCGACCACCACCAGCAGGCAAGGGGGGGTTAAGTGTCTTGCCCAAGGACACAACAGCAGAATTCTCTGTCCGGAGCCGGGATCGAACCTGCAACCTTCCGATTACTGGACAACCCGCTCAACCTGTTGAGCTGCTGCTGCCAGAGCCCTGGATTGCTAGAGCCCTTCTAGCCAATCAGAGGTGATAAAGGCAAGGTCTTCCTTGGACATCCTACAATTCCAAATGATGGTTGCCAGATCCTAGCAGACATTTACCGGTGCGTGTCCTTTTAAAATAGGACAGGCCCAAATGAGGCTCTGGCGCTAACGACCGTTATGCTTGTTTGAATGCGGTGAAACGACCAGCTGACCTCCGCGCTGTGAACCTGTTTCACAGACGACCACGTAAGCAACGTTACTTACGAAGCTAACACCCCAGATGAAGACATCCGAGATCTGTGGTGTCGGGGCTGCAAGGCAGTGGAGTCCCCGGAACGTGCTAACACTACAGCTCTACTGGACCAGCTGGACTGGACAGCACATCACCATGGCAACCTACCATGGCAATGTTTCCGGCTTCAGAGACGACCACATTTCTTTCAATTATATGGATTACTTCCTCCTTAAGCGAGCTGTCGTTTAAGAAGTGCTATGAAAACGTCATCGAACACCCAAACAACAATAAAACAATCTTGAATCTTCATCGCAGCACCAAGCACTCATGTGATGTTTGATAACCATGAGCTGAGGTAAAGCCCGTGGTGTTACGACTCATGCATGAGTTATCTCCCTACACCAGACCACCATCCAGCCCAGACCTTGTTCAGGCTGATCCTGAGTCTGTTGCGGTTGAAGTCGGTGTCTTCCCAGGCCTCTCCTGGCTCTCCAGCATGCTGCTGGACAGCGGTGTCCCCGGGAGGTCGGCTCAGCGGTGGAGGGGGGGCATTCTCCTGATCGCTAAGATGTTCATCCTGCAAAACGTCATCTGTGTTTTCCCTCTGAGGATCTCCTGGGACCGGTGTCACAATGGCACTGTAGACACGAATCAACACACGCTTCACTAGAACATATAAAGTACTGGTGGTAGATCCCAAACTGTTCAGAAGAACATAAAATATAATGTAATACTGGGTCCAGCTCCATTCTGATTGAGGAAATGCTAAGGGGCAGTGGTTTGGTCCTTACCCCACCATGGCTGCAGTGGGTCGGGTGTTGAGCTGTGGCTGAGTGGAGGCACTGGTCGACAGCGTGACATCACTTCCTCCTTTCTCCCAATCAAAGGGTTCGTTCTCAGTGATGATTCGCTCCTTCATGCTGTTCTCAAACACCGACATCAGCAGCTGGACAAAACAAGAAGGAAACAAGGTAAACTCCTGCTGCAGAAACAGACAGCATTAATCCTGCGGTCGATACCTGGTAATCTGGCTTGGTGTAGTAATCCAGGGCCAGCACATGGTCCAGGAAGACACTAAATTCTGAAGGCATGTGCTTGAGCAGCATCCGATGGTCGAAGCGCTCTTTAATCTGACCAACTTGCTCCTAACCAAAGAAAAAAACATTTCAGCTGCGGAAGATTCAGTAAATTAGCTAAATCAAGTGTACTTTACTAACGGGAAAAGAGAAATTATTAATCCTTATTTATTTTTTTTTCAGCCTGTTTCTATTGCAGATTAGTTACTAACATCCATAGAGACTCTTGTCCCTCAGTGTGAGTGAGTGTGTGACTTCTTATTTGTCTCTGTGTGTCCCTTTGATGGTCTAGAGACATGTCCAGAGTGTCTAGCTTGACGACTGCTGGAGCTAAACCAGCTCCTTTGGGCTTTACTGGCGATATGCTGTTAAGTTACGTAAATGACTGGATATGGCAGGTTTGTGATGAAGGTACTAATCCTGATGCCGAAATGGTTTGATACGAATTAACAACGATACTCCACGAGAGATTAAAGCAAACATAATCCTGCAGAGCCCGTTTTAGGTCAAACTGGATGTTTACCCGGCGACACATCTTTGTTTTTATGATAAAATGAGCCGCTTGAAATCTTAGAAGACTGATTAATGCTGAGCTGGAGGTAAAATGTCAGTTACCTCCACGCATCTCAAGTGACTTATGAACTGCTTTTGGTATTTTGATTAGTTTTGGCCTTGAGTGCCTGAGATAAAGCTCCTGGTATTACTCATGAGGACAGTCTCACGGTGTCCTATGATCGTTTTTCTGTTTCTGTCTCAGAGGCAGATAAAAGTTAAACACCAGCTGACCCTGCCTTCTGAAAAAAACGTTTCACCTCATTGAATCACAGGAATCAGACAAAAACATGCGTCTGATCTGCCTGTCTCTCTCTCTCTCTCTCTGTCTCTGTCTCTGTCTCTCTCTCTCTCTCTCTCTCTCTCTCTCTGTGTCTCTCTCTCCTCTGTCGTCTCTCTCTCTCTCTCTGTCTCTGTCTCTGTCTCTCTCTCTCTCTCTCTCTCGTCTCTGTCCTCTCTCTCTCTCTCTGTCTCTGTCTCTCTCTCTCTGTCTCTCTCTCTCTGTCTCTCTCTCTCTGTCTCTCTCTCTCTCTCTCTCTCTCTCTCTCTCTCTCTCTCTCTCTCTCTCTCTCTCTCTCTCATCTCTCTCTCTCTCTCTCTCTCTCTCTCTCTCTCTCTCTCTCTCTCTCTCTCTCTCTCTCTCTCTCTCTCTCTCTCTCTCTCTCTCTCTCTCTCTCTCTCTCTCTCTCTCTCTCTCTCTCTCTCTCTCTCTCTGTGTGTGTCTCTCTCTCCGTCTGTCTCTCTCTCTCTCTCTTGTCTTCCTGCCTGTCTGTCCTCTCGGGTGTACTTTGTTATGCAGATCTACTTGGGAGATAAGTCTGGGGACTCAATTACAGTGATGGAGAATGATAAAAAATTCACACCTTCATGCATCATGTAATTGTCCAGAAGGTCTAAGCTTCATTCTATAAAATACATATCTCATTTACAAACACACAATAAACAGCAACAACAACCTCCCTGCTGATGTCAGCAAGACTAAGGAGATCGTTGTCAACTTCCAGAGAGGCCACACCAAACCCCCACTACTGACCATCAATGGTGCTGCTGTGGAGAGGGAGAGCAGCACCAAATTCTTGGGGATGCACATCAGTGAGGACCTCTCCCGGACCACCAACACTGCATCACAGGCAAAGAAAGCCCAGCAGCGTCTCTACTGTCTGCACAAACTCCCAACAGGCCAGGGCTGCTCCAACCATCATGACCACCTTCTACAGAGGAACTATCGAGAGCATGCGTCCCAGCTGCATCACTGTGTGGGGTGGGAGCTGCGCTGACTACAACAGGAAAGCTCTGCTGCACATTGTGAACACAGCTGGGATGACCATTGGTGTACCACTTCCCTTCTTGAAATACATATTCATCACCCGCCTCACCTGGAAAACCATCACAATCTTGAGTGATGCTAGCCACCCCACACACAACCTCTGCCTCCAGCCCGCTGAAGGAGGTACAGGAGCCTCCGCTCCCGCGCTGCCAGACTCACCCACAGCTTCATCCATCAGGCTTTGAGACTATTAACCCTCTCCATCACCTTTAGCCACAGCCAACAAAGCCAGCAGACTGGCCAAGTGATAAGAATTTAGCCCTGCCCTGTGGCTCATTCATGTATTATGTACTTCTATATATACTCACTGGCCACTTTATTGGTAACACCTGTCCTACTGCTCGTTAACGCAAATTAACAACCAGCCAATCACATGGTGGCCAGGACGATCCACTGCAGTTCAAACCAAGCTTCAGAATGGGGAAGAAAGGTGATTTAAGTGACTTTGAACGTGGCGTAGCTGTTGGTACCTAGCTGGACTAGCTGGCCTGAGTATTTCAGAAACTGTTGATCTTCTGGGATTGTCACACAACCATCTCTAGGGTTTACAGAGAATGGTCTGAAAAAAGGGAAACATCCAGTGAGCGGCAGTTCTGGGCGACAATGCCTTGTTGGTGCCAGAGGTTTGAGGAGAACGGCCAGACTGGTTTGAGCTGATAAAGACAACAGTAACTCAAATAACCACTCGTTATGGTGTGCAGAAGAGCATCTCTGAACGCACACCACGTTGAAACTTGAGGCAGACGGGCTACAGCAGCAGAAGACCACACCGGGTACCACTCCTGTCAGCTAAGAACAGGAAACTGAGGCCACAATTCACACAGGCTCACCAAAACGGGACCATAGAAGATTGGAAAAATGCTGCCTGGTCTGATGAGTCTTGATTTCTGCTGCAACATTCAGATGGTAGAGCCAGAATTTGGCGTCAACAACATGAACACATGGATCCATCCTGGCTTGTATCAACGGTTCAGGCTGGTGGTGGTGGTAGTGTAATGGTGTGGGAGACATATTCGGCACACTTTGGGACCCTTAGTACTAATTGATCATCGTTGCAACGCCACAGCCTACCTAACTGGTGTTGCTCACCATGTCCATCCCTGTATGACCACAGTGTCCATCTGCTTATGGATACTTCCAGCAGGATAACACACCATGTCATAAAGCTGGAATCGTCTCAGACTGGTTTCTTAGACATGATAACGAGTTCACTACTCAGATGGCCTCCACAGTAAACAGACCTCCGTCCAATAGAGCATCTTTGGGATGTGGTGGAACGGGAGATCATGGATGTGCAGCCGACAAATCATCAGCAGCTGCTGATGCTATCATGTCATTATGGACCAAAATCTTTGAGGAATGTTTTCAGTACCTTGTTGGATCTATGCCACAAAGGATTAAGGTGGTTCTGAAGGCAAAAGGGGTCCAACCCGGTACTTGCCAGGTGTACCCAATAAAGTGACCAGTGAGTGTATTAATTTCATGTAAACATATTTCTGTGTAACTAACTGCCCATAATTACATTTATATTGTTTTAAAAATAACCAAATGGTGGATTTGTTCATGTTCCTTTGAGACCCTCTGACCTTATCTTTGATTTTCCTCCATGGTAGCTGTCCAGCAGCAAACTCCACCAGCATGTAAAACAATGACCAGAGGTCGTCATGGCGACCCATTTCCTGCAGAAGCAAAAAATAAATTATCAAATAGATCAATGCACAAAGATACGCAGCATCTCTTTAGAGGAAGTTCATATTTTAGGAGAATTTCCTGAATATCAGCATAATCTAGTTTTACCTGCAAAGTAGGGACATTAGTACCAAAGTAGGGACATTAGTACCAAAGTAGGGACATTATTACCAAAGTAGGGACATTAGTACCAAAGTAGGGACATTATTACCAAAGTAGGGACATTATTACCAAAGTAGGGGCATTAGTACCAAAGTAGGGACATTAGTACAAAAGTAGGAACATTATTACCAAAGTAGGGACATTATTACCAAAGTAGGGACATTAGTACCAAAGTAGGGACATTAGTACCAAAGTAGGGACATTATTACCAAAGTAGGGACATTAGTACCAAAGTAGGGACATTAGTACCAAAGTAGGGACATTAGTACCAAAGTAGGGACATTATTACCAAAGTAGGGACATTAGTACCAAAGTAGGGACATTAATACCAAAGTAGGGACATTAGTACCAAAGTAGGGACATTATTACCAAAGTTGGGACATTATTACCAAAGTAGGGGCATTAGTACCAAAGTAGGGACATTAGTACAAAAATAGGAACATTATTACCAAAGTAGGGACATTAGTACCAAAGTAGGGACATTAGTACCAAAGTAGGGACATTATTACCAAAGTAGGGACATTAGTACCAAAGTAGGGACATTAGTACCAAAGTAGGGACATTATTACCAAAGTAGGGACATTAGTACCAAAGTAGGGACATTAATACCAAAGTAGGGACATTAATACCAAAGTAGGGACATTATTACCAAAGTTGGGACATTAGTACCAAAGTAGGGACATTATTACCAAAGTAGGGACATTAGTGCCAAAGTAGGGACATTATTACCAAAGTAGGGACATTAGTGCCAAAGTAGGGACATTATTACCAAAGTAGGGACATTATTACCAAAGTTGGGACATTAGTACCAAAGTAGGGACATTAGTACCAAAGTAGGGACATTATTACCAAAGTTGGGACATTAGTACCAAAGTAGGGACATTATTACCAAAGTAGGGACATTAGTGCCAAAGTAGGGACATTATTACCAAAGTAGGGACATTAGTACCAAAGTAGGGACATTATTACCAAAGTAGGGACATTAGTACCAAAGTAGGGACAATAGTCCCAAATTAGGGACATTATTACCAAAGTAGGGACATTAGTACCAAAGTAGGAACATTAGTGCCAAAGTAGGAACATTAGTGCTAAAGTAGGAACATTAGTACCAAAGTAGGGGCATTAGTACCAAAGTAGGGGCATTAGTACCAAATTAGGGACATTAGTACCAAAGTAGGGACATTAGTACCAAAGTAGGGACATTATTACCAAAGTAGGGGCATTAGTACCAAATTAGGGACATTAGTACCAAATTAGGGACATTAGTACCAAAGTAAGGACATTAGTACCAAAGTAGGGACATTATTACCAAAGTTGGGACATTAGTACCAAAGTAGGGACATTAGTACCAAAGTAGGGACATTATTACCAAAGTTGGGACATTAGTACCAAAGTAGGGACATTAGTACCAAAGTAGGGACATTATTACCAAAGTAGGGGCATTAGTACCAAAGTAGGGACATTAGTACCAAAGTAGGGACATTATTACCAATGTAGGGGCATTAGTACCAAAGTAGGCACATTAGTACCAAAGTAGGGACAATAGTCCCAAATTAGGGACATTATTACCAAAGTAGGGACATTAGTACCAAACTAGGGACATTAGTACCAAAGTAGGAACATTAGTGCCAAAGTAGGAACATTAGTACCAAAGTAGCGGCATTAGTACCAAAGTAGGAACATTAGTACCAAAGTAGGGACATTAGTATCAAATTAGGGACATTAGTACCAAAGTAGGGACATTATTACCAAAGTAGGGACATTAGTACCAAAGTAGGGACATTAGTACCAAATTAGGGACATTAGTACCAAATTAGGGACATTAGTACCAAAGTAGGGACATTATTACCAAAGTTGGGACATTAGTACCAAAGTAGGGACATTAGTACCAAAGTAGGGACATTATTACCAAAGTTGGGACATTAGTACCAAAGTAGGGACATTAGTACCAAAGTAGGGACATTATTACCAAAGTAGGGGCATTAGTACCAAAGTAGGGACATTAGTACCAAAGTAGGGACATTATTACCAAAGTAGGGACATTATTACCAAAGTAGGGACTTTTGTTGGTCCTCACTTTGGGACAATGTTACAGAGCTCTACTTATTTTAGAGGTATGGTGTGAATTACGTTATAGTTAAGGTTAGTGTTAGGAACAGACTGGTTAGAGTTACGGTTATGGTTACACACAATCCAGTCACAAATATGAATGGAAATCAACTACGGTCCTCACAATGAATGCTAGACAAGAGTGTGTGTGTGTGCGTGCATATGTGTGTGTGTGTGTGTGTGTGTGTGTGTGTGTAAGAAGGTAAAAAAAAAAAGGCACTGACCTTGTTTTTGTGGGCGTTAACTGAAGCATAGCGGACCGTCCCTCTGAAACCTGCAACGGTCCTCGGCTGAACACAGAACAAAGTCCAGTTAGACTTCAGCTCAGCCTCAGGACCAGAACCCACCACTCATTCTCTGGCTCCTTTACGACATAGAGCTAAAGCAATGAAACAAGTCAAACTAGAGTTTGCTGCTGGTCTTGTATGGATACAAAACCAGAGTTTACCTGACAGCAGACAGGATTTCTCTACTGCTGTTAAAGTACATCTGCCATGTAGCTTATTTCCTGTTCTTTGCAGAAGAAAAGTGAACTACAACCAATCACAAACTAAATGACTCAATAACTAGTTTCAAATAAAAACGCTAACATTCCAAACATCATTATATGTGTTTAGACTTGAATCGCTCCAAATTCGTTTTGAAGTATTTTTCTGTCCATTATAAATAATTAGCATATTAGCATACGCTAATGGCCTGTCCAAGCATCGCCAGGATAAAAGTTTGTTGATGCTTAAACTGAACTTTCACAGCAGATTGAAGCGAATTGGAAAACACGCTGGTGTAACCATTAGCTCCTCATTCAAAAAGGACATTATCACTCTCCAACCAGGGACGATGGTTATTATTTACTATCTAAAGGGACTTTCAAAAATGAGAAATAAATCATTTAAACTGAAAAGTTTCACTACAGACACGCATCACTTCAAAGCAAAAGTTATGTCAAACTAAAGTAAAATACAACAGCAACACTACCAATGCGCAACAGCACCGTACACGTTTACATCCCGGGTCAGAGGAAGAGAGGAAGCTGGTGGTTGTTCCTCCTAATAAGCCAATAAATCTCGGAAGGTCAATAAAACTGGCCCACAACTCCAGCCTCTTTTACGAAGCTACAGCATTAAGTGCAAAGCTGAGGCAGCACCTGGAAGTCTTCGCTTGTTAATAAGTGGTCGTCTGTAGCGCGTTTCACGAAGATTACATAGTGGTGTTCTAAAATGTGTGGGGGCCATCCAGTAGTCTAATACTAAACCTAATCATCACTGAAGGCCTGATTTCAGTACATTCCAGGACTTTTCTGGGAGGGCAAAACATGCTGCCTCTGTCTTCTCAGCTGTTGAGTCTTCATGCAAAATGTGAAATGACATCACTGATCAGTCAGAAAGGGGTGGAATGCCTTCTCCAGGCCAGAGATGAGGTCCTGCCCCAAGCGCCAGAGCAGCGCCACAGACTGATTTACTCCATGCCATGCCGTATTGCTGCATTAATTCAGCCAACCAGAACTGGTCATGGGTGTACCTCTACAACACTAAAGTGTTGAGTGATACTGTTACACCCCTACAATGGGCTCAGCTAGGAAGATGAGGGGGGGGGGGGGGGGCATAAAATGGACAAGTCAAACGTAAGGTCACCCTAAAGGGGAAAAAAAGGCTTGACAAAGCAAAACCAACTCAAAGTGTCCTTGTCTTCAAAGGTTTATTAAAAGGGGCTGGAAAATCCAAAAGGAGGGGCAAACCCCTCACCTAGAAATTAACCAAGGTAAAAACCAAACTCAGGTAACCAAGTTAACTGAAGTTGTCCAAACACCATAAATCCTAAAATGACTCTCCCTTGTTAAAAGGGGACTGGAAATCAAGAAAGGGCAAAAACCCCACTGAGTAATTTACCAAGATTTGTCTGAGAGACAAGCCAAACTAAAATTACCAAAGTAACTGAAACTGTCAAAATCCTAAATAGCTCTTCTATATTAAACTGAAATTCCACATGGGCAAACCCCAACTGGTAATTAACCAAGGTTTGTCTAAAAGAAGAACCAAACCAAAATTATCAACTCAAATTGTCCCAAACACCAAAATCCTACCTACTCTCTCTAGAAGTAAGCAAAACAGCAAAAGGTTTAGACGGAGCCAAAAAACCACAAGGGAAGAGAACACCAGTTGCTGCTGCAACCCGCAAACAATTTCTCTCCCCGATGAGCTCCAGCTGGCTGCTTTTGAAGGGCCACGGCCTGCTGGCTGTGACTGACTGCTGCCCTGGCGCTGTCCATGGTCCTGAATGAAAGTTGTTTCCCAAGGGCAGCTGTCCAAGGTGCTGCACTGCTGAACAGAAAACAGGGAGCGCTGCACACCACTGGGGCTCCAAAACGGCGGCGGCCGTAACAGATACCCTCAGCAATAAGGAATATTGTGTGGCTGTGTTTGTTGACTTGGCTACAGCCTTTGATTCTGTAAACCATAACAAGCGGCCTCGTGTAGGACCTTCCAATCAGAATCAGAAAAGTTTATTGCCATACGTGTGAGAAAACACAACATTCATCAATGCATCCCTGGCATGGTTCAGAAGACTTAAAGCCTAATCTATACTTATTAAATCAGGCTTTAGCTCGTATGGTGAGAACAGAGGGTTTCCAGTAAACACAAGCGAAACCAAACCCTTGATTTTCAATCATTCCTTCAATCCACCTATCCTCCCAGTGGCCAGCGGGGGTTAGTGGGACGATGGTATGATTTTATCGTCTTTCTGGATGGTACAACCTTACAACTTGTCAGCTCCTACAAGTATTTGGGTATCTACAGTAGGTAGACAGCTCACTTACCGTGGATATGCACATTAATACAAACATTACAAACATCCAGTTAAGGATTAGTTTCAGGACCACAGCAGATCAACATTTATTCATTCTGCAAAGTATCAACATCTATCACTGTCATCTGTACTTTGTGCTCAATTGACCATCACTCCAATCAGTTCATGTATAAAACAGTTCTTAGCAAAGGTCCGTCACACGTTCCCTCACTTTTCAACAATCTCATAATTTAAGCTCCAGTAACTTTTCCCACAGGCTACACCTATTTTGGATGTTTCTCATTTGAGTTTGCTGCTCCAAATGACAAAATCCATTAAAACCACCTCCTATCACATTATCCACCCTCAACAACTCAATACAGTGTGCCAGCTTCTGACTGCCTTCCGATCGATTACAGTGATCCCTCGTTTATCGCGGCAGATGCGTTCCAGACCTGGTCGCGATAGGTGAAAATCCGCGAAGAAGGGACACCATATTTACAGTACAGCACATTCTCTTTTTGTGGGTAAAACTCAAGAAAAAAAGAATTTTTACTTGGTTTTTTTATAGTTTTATTCCAAAAAGTGCATTTTATGATGAAATTGATGAAAAAAAAATAGGAATTTCATGATATTTCGCATAGAAAAATACCGCGAATCGGTGAAAAATACCGCAAATCTGCGAATTTCCCTTGAATAAGGCTCCAAAGAAAAAATCCGCGAAGTCGTGAATCCGCGATAAACGAACCGCGAAGTAGCGAGGGATCACTGTACTCAGATTATGAGTTTTAGTGTTTTAGGAGCGTTTTTATCCTGTTCTAACATGTTTGTTTTCATAATTTATGCTCTTGCTGCTGCGTCTTGGCCAGATCATTGTTGTAAATGAGAATGGGTTCTCAAACTACTCAAATGGTTAAATACAAGTCAAATAAATAGTAAAAGATGGAATCTAAATAAATGCTCTGGGGCAGTAAATCCTCCAGAGCATCACTTGCTGAGGGTGCAAGAGTTGGTGCTCATCTCCACCTTCAGTGGACTCCAGATAGAGCAGCCCATCTCCGTTCTCCAGAGGGAATTTTCTACTGAAAATCTCTTGCTGGGAAGTATGTGTAAAGCACTCTGCTGGTTCCATACCCAACAAAACTGCTGTTTAATGTTGATGTTCAACGACCACGGTTTGGTTCACTGTAAGATTTAAGAGTATTTCTAACTCAGCATTTTGCTTGTCTGGTTGTTCTTGTTCTAGTTAGTTTCTTTGGAGTGTGGGTTTAGTGTTAGAGGTCAGCTGGTGATGTGACCGGGACCGGGACCCATCTGTAGCTAAACAAACCACTCACATCCCACAGGATTCATGGACGAAACAGGAGGCATGCACGTCAAAATCATAAGTCCAAAGGAACTGTAAGAAAAACAAAAACAAGACTGAAACATAAAACGACCAAAATGAAAGGAAAGTAAAAGCAACAGAAATGTCACAGAAAACCAACAGATTACAAAAGTAACAACATTAACGATGACTGGTGATCCATTCTAACTGAACTTAACCATCAATAGTACGCATATGACACAGCTGCTGTAGACAACCCTTAACTTTATACTCACTCATGAAGTCAGCACTGGGCGGGGTCAGTTTCAGGTCCAAAACAGCTTTTTATGTACATAAATAATCCTGTAATGTATTATTATTATTAATATTTATTATTATTACTATTATTATTATTATTATTATTAATATGTATTCGTATTAATCATCATAATATTTATTATTATTAATTATTATTATTTATTATTAATAATAATGTTTATTATTATTATTTTTTATTATTATTCATATTTATTATTATTATTATTTATTAATAATAATAATGTTTATTATTATTATTATTATTATTATTATTTATTATTATTATATTTATTATTATTATTATTAATGCTGCTTAATTTTCTGAGGGTAGATAGTAACAAATAAAAAAATAAACCAAAATAAAATTCATATTTTCTATTAATGAGGATATTTAGGAGGGGCAGATGTGGGTGGAGCCAACGATGCAGGGCTGCTGGCAGTTTCAGAACAGAACATGTTTATTCATTTATTTATATTTTTATAAGTTTTGTTTGTTTGGCTTTAGCAGCATTGGGCCACAAGCGTGTCTAATAGTGACGACCAGATGTTATCTGAACTAAATCAGATTCAGACTGGATTGAGGCATTTGTTGCCCTTTAGATGATGGAGGAGGAGAACGCCTCCCTGTTGGTGCAACAGTCAGAAGATGGGTGTCAGCAGACATTCCTGCTGAAGCTGAGAAAAGTGCTGCTTTGATCAGAGATTCTGTCTCCTTCAGTGAGATGATGGAGGGATGAGACGGCACAAAGAACGGACAGGAAGAGGAGGAATGAGACAAAGGGAGGGGGAAAGGGTGGAAGACACGAACTGAGCGAGAGAAGCCCTGCAGATGATTGGACTGAAGCTGACGCCGCTGCAGAATAAGAAGAGCGGGGAAATACGTGAAGGGCGGCACAAAAGCGTGCTGGGACTCTCGCTCGGTGACGCAAGTTAAAGCATCAAATATTCAACTCACTGCTGCGACAGAAGCAGCAACGCTGCAGAGGAGGATGGGGTGAGAAGAAGAGGGAGAGGAGGATGAGTTTGTGGAAAATGACAAAGAGAAACTTTTGAAAATGGAAGCAGCACACGTACTAAAAGATCTACAAAATAGCTCAGGTGCAGAGCAGAGCCTGGTTGGATCCGACTGGATCCGTCTCTTCCCGTCCAGCACCAACATCTGGATCATCACGTCTAATCTGTTGGTCTCCTCAGGTTTTCCCTTCCTGTTCCATCAGATTGAGAAAAAGAGCGTTTACGTCTGTTACTGATCAGGTCACACAGGAATCCACCGGACCCGCAGGTCTAATGGGACGACGTGCTGCAGTGCAGCAAACACGCCCACTCCGCAGACACAGTCCGCTTCTTCTGGGTAAAGAAAACACAAATGATCCATGCTAAGTTAAAACTAGTGACTCTAAATGTGTTGGTTTTTATTTAGAGCCAAATGTTTTATTTCCTTTTTTCCTCATTTTTGGAAACAATCTTCTTCACGTTTCCAGATCTGATCACAGAGAGGAGCTTCCTGATGACAAGTGTTGATTTCTTTCCTTTACAGACCTGATGATGCCGATTTATTCTCATTTGTCACTAAATTTGTTTTTGGTGTCGATCTGCCTCACCTGGCTTTTAAGCGTCTGGGAATAAAATGTTAATTTTGAACAGTTCGGCACAAATGAGGACAACTAATGAGGTAGATCCCCCTCCTCTTCTTCATCTTAATGTAGATGAAGCAACCTCTCCCTTCTGCTGCTGCAGCAACGGGGCGCAGTTTCAGCTCCACCTCCTCCAGTCTCATCCGCACTTTAGTGCCTCTGAGCAGAATACTTCTAAAGCCTGCAACACAACAATCAGGACCTCCCTCCCTGCCACAGAGACAGTGATGGTGGTATTGGCTGGATCGAGTTCTTCTGATCTGAGGGTGAAATGTGAGCAGTTTTATGCTTTTTCTAAAAGCTTTCTGATACAAATGAACAAATGATCAGGTGTTAATCATCTAAAAACTGCTCCCATGTTGGCAAACCGCCTTCCCGTTTGTAAACAAGCACTCATTTATTAGCCTGGCCTGCCAGACTCATCCTGTTTAATTCTGCACAGAGAGAGAGAGTCTGGTTACTCACAGGCAGAGAGGCACATGAGGGGCGGGGCTAGCCAGCTCAAAAATAACCAATCAGAAAAAAGACGGAAATGCCGACTGTACCGCGCGACGCTGTAGTTTTTTAGCTGTAGTCAAAAATGGCGTCTGGCGACGGCGCAAACATCTTTCTTTAGCAGAAAGGCTTTTAGCGCTTCTGTTGCGGTTTTAAAGACGCGTCCAGGTCGTTTAGAACAGAGGAAAGAGCCGCAGTGAACTCCGCTTCAGTCGCCATGTTTATGACAAGCTCGGCGTTGTGGTGTATGACGTACGCTACTCAGCGCTGATTGGCTCGGTTAGAATTCTCAGGGGGTGGGGTTATCGGAATAGGAGAGTTCTCAGAGCCTTTATCTGTGCAGAATGAAACAGAGGAGGAGTCTGGTGGGCCAGGCTAATAATTCATACATTTTAGTGACCTGTAACGGTTTATATTTCTACAAAATAATCAAACATCAATAATTATTGTGGGGAAGCAGTAGCAGTAGCTTAGGAGGCAGAGCGGGTTGCCTCGTGATCGGAGGGTCATGGGCTCGATTCCAGCTCACACCGGGGGTATCCTGCTGTTGTGTCCTTGGGCGAGACACTTCACCCGACTTGCCTGTGTTAGTGGTGGTCAGAGGGGCCGACGGCGCCAAATGGCAGCCTCGCCTCTGTCAGACCGCCCCAGGGTGGCTGTGGCTACAAAGTAGCTCACCATCACTAGCAGTGTGTGAATGTGAGAGAGTGCTTGCAAGCGTCTTTGAGTGTCCTAAACAAGCGCTACGTAAGTTCGATTATTATTATTATTATTATTATTAATATTATAAGAATCTCAGCTAAAACCTACAAAATATGGTTTTGGACTGATGTTTGTGTTTCAGGACGCATCAGAGTTCAGCCTGGCTCAGAGGAACACACCCCAGAGTGCTAACACTGATGAGAAGCAGTTTGGAGCTGGACAGCTGACGCACAACAGAGCCAGGCTCTTACCGGTCGGACCTCCCCGTTGGTGTTGGTGTACTGCCGGGCCAGACCGAAGTCCAGCATGTAGCACTTTCTGTAGGTGGAGGGAAGTCGGCCCATTGCAAAGTTTGACTGCAGAAATCAAACAAAGCATTCAGATCCTTGCACAAAGAGACAATCACTTTAGGGTTTTGCTAGATTGCTTTATAACTCTGCGACAGGAAATTAAATATTAGTTGAAATCAAAACCGCACATCTTCATATTTATATGTCTCTGCTCCCTTATGTGTGTGTGCAGCTTTATTTATATAGCACATTTCATACACAGAGGTTATTCAGCGTGCTGGAGAGGAATATTTTTGCATCGTACCGGTTTGATGTCCCGGTGCAGGAAACCCACTGAGTGGATGGCTTCTATGGACTCCAAGATCTGCTTGCCAAGTCTCAAGGTGGTGCTCATGGTGAAGGTTCCTCTGGGCTGACTCCTCCGCAGGTCAGCCAAGTTACGACCCTGGACAGCACCGAGAGTTGAATGAAAAATGAAGATTTAAAGTGCCACTCTTTAAATGCCGACCATCTGGCCTTATATCAGGGCTCCTCAGCTATTTTGAGCCTCAATCAAGGCTCATATAGAGGCTTAAAGAACAGCTTCCAGTCCTAAAGAAAACATTGTTCTAAAGACCTTTAATGCATTTGCTAACAAAGAAACAAACACACTCAGACACAAGCAAATATATAGAAAACTCATTATAGTCCACTCAACTCAAGATGGCCGCTACAGCCAGTGAACCGAAGCAAAGACAAAAGTAACTCAGTTTTCCAGCTTTGGAGCTAAAAGTAATGTGATTGCATTGGTAACAGACTGTGTGACTCTGCATTAGATGGTGCAAAAAGTTATTTTCATGATTGGACCAGGAGTACCATCATTTATCAGCATGAGATCATCTTAGTTTAACCCTCCCACTGTCCTAATGGGTGTGACCCCGCGAGGAACGTTGACCATTGAGCGGGGTTGATGGTTTATCCCTTGAGGTCCACGTGGCAGGGGTGAGGTGGTGCTCACTCCTCACCCCTGCCACGTGGACCTCAAGGGATAAACCATCAACCCTGCTCAATGGTCAACGTTCCTCGCGGGGTCACTCATTAAGACAGTGGGAGGGTTAAAGGTGTGGTTCACTGAAAAAACACTTTTAATGATCATTTCTGATTATAATTAGTCACTCTGAGTTTTTTATGTAGTTTTCAAACAAGGGATTCGGAAAAGGGTAGAATGCCTTCTCCGGGTCAGGGATGAGGTCCTGCCCCTAGTGGAGGAGTTTAAGTTTCTCGGGGTCTTGTTCACGAGTGAGGGAAAACTGGAGCGTGAGATCGATAGGCGTATTGGTGCTGCATCTGCAGTGATGCGGGCGTTGTACCGGTCTGTCGTGGTGAAGAGAGAGCTGAGTCAGAAGGCGAAGCTCTCGATTTACCGGTCGATCTACGTTCCTATCCTCACCTATGGTCATGAGCTTTGGGTAGTGACCGAAAGAATGAGATTGCGGATACAAGCGGCCGAAATGAGTTTTCTCCAAAGAGTGGCTTAGAGATAGGGTGAGAAGCTCGGTCATTCGGGAGGGGCTCGGAGTAGACCCGCTGCTCCTCCACATCGAGAGGAGCCAGTTGAGGTGGTTCGGGCATCTGGTCAGGATGCCTCCTGGACGCCTCCCTGGTGAGGTTTTCCGGGCACGTCCAACTGGGAGGAGACCTAAAGGTAGACCCAGGACACGCTGGAGGGACTATGTCTCTCACCTGGCCAGGGAACGCCTTGGGATTCCTCCGGAGGAGCTGGCCCAAGTGGCTGGGGAGAAGGAAGTCTGGGCGTCTCGCCTTAGGCTACTGCCCCTGCAACCCGACTCCGGATAAGCGGATGAAAATGGATGGATGGTATTCAGACAATTGTCATTGTCAGAATATATCATATATCTGTAAATCAGTCTCAATTATCCAGGTAACTATTACCTAGTAATCTGACAGGTACTGTAACTCTACTAAAAGATAGACAAGTCATGTTTGTCAATCTACAAAAGTATATACAGCGCTCAGCATAAATGAGTACACCCTCTTTAAAAAGTACAAATGTAATCAGAAGCTCAATGTACAAAATTATATCCAGAACTTTCACAAGGCTGGGTTTAATGAACACTTGTTCATCTCCATAACATGAAATTAAGGTTAATAATATAACTTAGATCACTAAATCTTCAGTTTTACTAAAACTGGTTGAAGCAAAAATGAACACACCCCACAACAAAACTACTACATCTAGTGTTTGTATGACCACCGTGATTTTCAAGGACAGCACCAAGTCTTCTAGACATGGAATGAACAAGTAGGCGACATGTTGCTACATCTATCTTTCTCCATTCTTCAACAATAACCTGTTTCAGAGCCTGGATGCTGGATGGAGAGTGACGCTCAGCTTGCTGCTTCAGAATTCCCCACAGGTGTTGGATTGGGTCAGATCAGGAGACATGCTTGGCCGTTCAATCACCTTCACCCTGTTCTCCTTCAGAAATGCAGCAGTATCTTTAGATGTGTGTTTTGGATCACTGTCGTGTTGGAAAAGTGCACGACGACCACGTGCACGGAGTGATGGCAGCATCTTCTCCTTCAGTATAGAGCAGTACATTGTTGAGTTCATGATACCATCAATGAAATGCAGCTCCCCAACTCCAGCAGCACTCATGCAGCCCACATAAGGACACCGCCACCACCATGCTTCATTGTAGACACCATGCATTTCTCTTTGAAATCCTCACCTTTACGATGCCGTACAGTTGAGAAACAATTAGTTCCAAAAACAGTGATCTTTGTCTTATCACTCTAGAGTCTAGAGTTTCCTGATCTTCTTGTAGGCCTTACCTTTTTGTGTAAAGAAATTATTTCCTTTCTCTGGTTTTGTGACATTTATCTTGCATGTGCAGCCATTGCTGACAGCATGAAATGGGAAGGGCTTTTCGTTGTTAAGTAGCGCCCTATAAATCAAAATCTGTCATCTTAAGAGTGGCTTTTAAGGCTACGGGATGTACTCATTTTTGCAACATGAGCTTGAATGGATTTGGTGGGAAAATCACTTTATTGCGGACAAAGTAACAAATGCTGTTTGCACATCAAATGGCCCACATTTGTGGAAGTATGTTGTAGTTTGGTATCTCATAGAAAATGTTGATTCTTACAGCAAACTAAAGGTTTTCTGACTAATGTAGTGGGGTGTACTCATTTATGCTGAGCACTGTATAATTAACCACCTTTACCGCCACATACCAACAACAATCATTTGAAACTTCCAGACTTTATTTCTATAAAAACACAGAGGGCTGCCTGTGGGCTTCTCTACCACCGGGCTTAGCAAGTTTTCTGGAGGAAACCCTGCTTACTTTTTATAGAAATTAGCTTTTCTAAACAAACATGTTGATACTTTTACATGTTGAATATATAGCGAGTATTATTGTCACACTGGTACTTCCATTACCATGGCAGCAGTACGAACACTTACTGAGGTGAGCTGGTCCGATCTAGCCTAGTGAACTAGACCAAATTCTTGCTTTGCAAAGAATGGTCTAGGCATGCTCCATTGGAACCTCTGCAGCTCCTACCAGGACTCTGGCTAGCCAATCACAGCTCTCTAGAGGGGTTTCAAACACATAAAGAGCTGTGATTGGTCCATAATGGTGGGCCAATCATAGTGCTCTATCTGCTTAGTGAACAAATCACAGAGCTTTATCCGCTTTGTGGGCCAATAAGGGCACTCTATATGCCTGGTGGGTGGGATGATGCAACAGAAGCCCCCTTCAGACAGGCCATGAAAAACGGAAATGTTCCGGACTCTGTCCGTAAGACCTTTGTGTCTGAATACAAACATCCGGATAACGTGTTCCGGAATTTATCCGGACGAAGCCCCTAGTAACAGGTCCGGATTTGTTACGGACAGGGTGGCTGCTTCAGACTGGTGAGGTAGAGTTCCGGACAAGGGGGAGGGGGAGGAGGAGGGGACCGGGGGACGCTGTGCGCACCCAGATAGCCCGCTGCTGTAGCATGCGGCAAACCACGGCAGCTCGCCTCCTACGGTACCGTCTAGACTCGCGACGGAGCACTTCACACCGCTTCAGTGATTCCTTTAACCATTGAGCTTCATCATCCAGGTCTCTTATGCGTCTTCGTGTGCGCAGAATTATGCTTAAGCGCCTCGTGATTTTTATCTTGAGAGGCGCTATAGAAATGATATTTTCTTCTTCTTCTTCTTCTTAACATAAGTCCGATCCCCCACCCCCCCACCCCACCCCGGCCGCCGTCAGACTTCTGGAACTTTTCCCTGCTGTGTGAACGCAGCCGAAAGGACAAGTTCCGGTACAAAAGTGGTGTGTCTGAAAACACAGTTCTGGTTAAAAACCGGATTGAATTGTCCTTAAATGTTCCATTATGTCTGTCTGGAAAGGGCTAGAGTGAAACAAGAGTATGTCACATTCATTGTCCAGTGGAATGCGGAGACCATTTGAAAGACAACGGTAGAGCCCGCCCCGCAACCGAGAGCCGTCAGTGGAGCGTGGCCAGACTAAATAATACATTTATTTATTTAGTCTAGCTTGCCAGGCTAGGTCCGATCCATTTATTTTTATTTTTTTAAAAGGTCCGCCGCTAACGTGGGACACGGCAGATTTGGGTGGATGTAATATCAATCAGAACGGTGACTCAGAGCTGACTCAACAGGCTCTTTATAACTTGCTATGACTGGCTGAGGAGAAATGTTTTCAGAAGTATTTTGATAATCAATTTAAAATGTACATGTCTGATACCTCTGCTTAGTTCACTCACCTGTATTTTTACATATAAACCCTTAATTTAACCGTCTTACACCATTCTGGTTTACAGGTGGAACAGAAAAATAAGAATCTGTAGCAGAAGTTCATTTGTCACTGATTCACCGTAAAAGGTGAAACTAATATGTTTATGTTTATTTATTTGGCAGACGCTTTTATCCAAAGCGACTTACAATTTATAACCTATAGGGCATGTTGTGATCTGTGGGGGAAACCGGAGGAAACCCACGCATGCATGGGAAGAACTCGCAACTCCACGTAGAAAGGCCGCAGCCGAGTTTCAAACCTGCAACCTTCGTGCTGCGAGGCAGCAGTGCTAACCACTGCGCCACCATGCAGCCCTATAAACAAAAACATAATATAAGTGACAGACTCATGCAAAACCAGACATTTCAGCCCTTATTTGTTACAACAGTGATGATTATGACTCACAGCTGAAGAAATCCCCACATTTAAAACCTCAAACAATCAGATTATCGTGTAAAGGTTCGATATCCTAAACTCCAGAGTGTCACACTCTAATCAGCTAATGAACCCCAGAACACCTGCAAAGGGTTCCCGAACCTTTAGATGGTCTCTCAGTCTAAGATGGATTACTGACATAAATGTCCTTTTGCACCATTTTCTCATTTTTCCAGTTTCACCTGCATATCAGTCTAAATTATCCAGGTACCTAATTCTCACCTCCACTCCACAGAAGTGAGGAAATTAATATGATTAAGTCTTTGCCACTTGTGAAACTCAGAAACAAAAGTATTGAATACATAATCTGCCTTTTGATCACAATAAACCGGCTTGTCATTGGAGCCCACACTCACCTGAAGCTGCATGACTACGTAGTTAAATTTGTCATTTCTGCCACATCCAATAAACTTACAGACGTGGTTTTTACCTACAGAAGAAAAAAAAGCAGAAATGATCAAACACATCAATGCAGACAAAAACAAATAGTTAGCGTTGAATGATCCTACCCAAGATACACTTCTAAAACTCCTACTATTCCATTATAAAGGCTGTAATAGGCAGAATTATTGTATTTAGTCACGTGTGTTAAGGATGAGTCTCTCTGATTAGAATAAATAACTCTGACATGAGTCCCAGCAGCTGCTCAGCAGATATGGTGAAGCATTTAGCAGATAATGAGGGAGATCCTCTCCACAAACACATACTCAGGTCATCAGGCTGACACATGCGTGCGTCATCTAAAGCTGAACTAAAACACAGAAAAGCTTAGATTTATCTGTGCTAGACATTCCATTCATCAAACCCACTAATGATTTAAAAGGTTTCACAGAAACACCGACAGACTGTTCATGCTGATGTCAGGGCTGGAAAATGAATAAATCCCTTTCCCTAGAGACAACATGTTTCTCTATAAATGTAAAAGAACTGAATGTTGTTATAAGTACAACACAATGAACCGATTCCTTTTATTCAGGCAAACGTTTCCTCTCACATTCTGAGGACATCTGATCAGAACCTGTCGACAAACCCACCAGGGGAGGCCAACTAACCCGTAGACCAGGGGTCCAACCTACAGGCTGCTTGTTTTAGTTGTCTCCCTACTTCATCAGACCTGATTCTAATCAGCAGGTGATTGGCACGTTTCTGTAGAGCTTGATGAGCTGCTGAACTGGTGAATCAACCGTGTCGGAGCAGGAACGCAGGTGATCAGCTGCAGGTGATCAGCTGCAGGTGATCAGCTCAGGTGATCAGCAGCAGGTGATCAGCTCAGGTAATCAGCTCAGGTGATCAGCTGCAGGTGATCAGCTCAGGTGATCAGCTCAGGTGATCAGCAGCAGGTGATCAGCTGCAGGTGATCAGCTGCAGGTGATCAGCTCAGGTAATCAGCTCAGGTGATCAGCTGCAGGTGATCAGGTCAGGTGATCAGCAGCAGGTGATCAGCTGCAGGTGATCAGCTGCAGGTGATCAGCTCAGGTAATCAGCTCAGGTGATCAGCTGCAGGTGATCAGGTCAGGTGATCAGCAGCAGGCGATCAGCTGCAGGTGATCAGCTCAGGTAATCAGCTCAGGTGATCAGCTGCAGGTGATCAGCTCAGGTGATCAGGTCAGGTGATCAGCTCAGGTGATCAGCTGCAGGTGATCAGCTTCAGGTGATCAGCAGCAGGTGATCAGCAGCAGGTGATCAGCTGCAGGTGATCAGCAGCAGGTGATCAGCAGCAGGTGATCAGCAGCAAGTGATCAGCTTCAGGTGATCAGCTGCAGGTGATCAGCTGCAGGTGATCAGCAGCAGGTGATCAGCAGCAAGTGATCAGCAGCAGGTGATCAGCTGCAGGTGATCAGCTGCAGGTGATCAGCAGCAGGTGATCAGCAGCAGGTGATCAGCAGCAAGTGATCAGCTTCAGGTGATCAGCTGCAGGTGATCAGCTGCAGGTGATCAGCAGCAGGTGATCAGCAGCAAGTGATCAGCTTCAGGTGATCAGCAGCAAGTGATCAGCTTCAGGAGATCAGCTTCAGGTGATCAGCTGCAGGTGATCAGCAGCAGGTGATCAGCTTCAGGTGATCAGCTTCAGGTGATCAGCTGCAGGTGATCAGCAGCAGGTGATCAGCTCAGGTGATCAGTAGCAGGTGATCAGCAGCAGGTGATCAGCTCAGGTTTACGTGAGCGGAAGGAAAGTGCGTTGGGGCTGCAGCAGGTAAAATGTTCCTAATTTAATTGAAACTATTTAATTGTATTGTTTATGTTACTGGGGCATTCTGATCAGATGTTAGAACAACATTTTAATAAAAAATGAATGGATTGAATGATTATTTTAAAAATGAAAGTGACGACGGGGATAAATGGATCATGTGACCTCTGGCTGCGTGCAAATGCAGCAGCGATTCATTTCATTTTCTCCTAAAAGAAAGAAACCCAGTAGCCTTCGTTCAGAAGGAAACACTTTGCTTAAATAAAATATCACAATAGTGAGCACCGCAGGGCAAAAACGACGAGGCTTCCTCTCAACACTTTTGCCGTGTTTAACACGAGATGTTCATACGTCACTCTAATTTTGTATTTGTTGTTTGGTAAATAAAAAGAAAAATCTAAACTTCTCTTCCAGATGAAATGTGTGCTGCACTTCTATAAAAAATAATCCGTGTTTGTACGTCTGCTGTGCTCACAAATCAGTCCGTGCATCATGATCTGCACAATGGCTACTCGGTTGTGACAGTTTCATGATAATATGACACTGGAAAAAATTACAATATGATGCTAAAGTTCTTTTATTTCAGCAACTCAACTTAAAAGGCTAAACTAATGAATGAAACAGTCTTTGTTTGTTATAACTGTGATGATTTTGGCCTGCAGCTGATGAAAACACCACAATCAGAATCTCGGACAATTAAGAGTGTTGTGTAAAGGTTCAATATTCTCGTGTCACGCCCTGATCAGCTAATGAATCCAGAACACCTGCAGAGGGCTTAGAGCCTTTGATACCAGATAACAGATAATGGACTTTTGCACCATATTCAAAATGTTGCAGCTTCACCTGCATATGGAGGTATAAAGAAAACTCCCTGTTGTTGTGTTGTTGTTCTAGGGCCCCTTTAACTGTTTTGTTGTGTTAGCTAGAGCCCTGGTCTAACACTGGCGCCTCCGTCACTGGGCATAAACAGTAACCGCAGCAGCCTGACTCACCACCTGTCTAAATGCACAACATAAACCAAATAAGATGTCCTCGGGTGATCAATGAAGTAAACACTTAGAACCACCAGACCTAGTCTGTAGACCTCACTCCACTGGTGGAAAGGTGCACTTACTGAAAACCATGTTTAGACACTTGGGTCTAAATAATTGACCAGGTTGAGACAGGATATCTGCTGAAACCTGAGGGAGGGGAAGGAGTGGTTGTTGGAGCATGTTGAGTCGATCAGTCAGCTGCTGCAGGCCAACAACTGGAATCTTCTGAGATTAAGCTGCTCAGATCATCACCAAACCAGCCTATCACATGCTGCAGTAGCACACACACACGTGACATGATCACTCTTCGCTGGGCTGTGACATAACGCTCTTACATAATGCTTCTAACTGCCTCCAGTAGCCACATGCAGAAGAGGTGGCTTTTAGCTGGGAGACTCTGTCTCCTTTAGGTTGCAGTCTCAATTTAAGGACAGACACCAGTCCCTGAAGGGTCCACCTCAGAGTCCCGGTAAGTGTGTAAACGCTCAGAGAGAATGGTGAGGTTGCAGAGAGAAGACATTTCTGACTCGATCCTATCCCTCTGACATTCTTAAACGCCCCACCCGTTACCATAATTGCTCTAAGGATAATCTTAACTGTGGTGCTTTAAGAGTGCTGTGCTCAGCTTGGATGCAAGTTCTCACCCTGCAGCTTCTTAAGGACGGCCACCTCCATCTTCAGCACCTGCTTGGGCTGCTGGGCCGACTCCACCTTCAGCGCCACGTTCTCCCGCGTCAGCAAGTCCAAAGCCTCATAAATCTCCCCAAACCCACCCCCACCAATCTTCTTCAGCTAAAAGTCAGAATGCAAGACAGAGACGATTACACCGTGTTGACTGGACGTGCTCACAGAAGGATCAGAAGAGAACTCAAACAGATGTTTCTTATTGTTACTTCTGCGGTTTCTAGATGAAATAAGATCATAAAGTCTTTAAAAGAGAACAAATGTTTTTGTTTCTACCCTTTTGATGTGAAAATGGTCGCATTTTGGGCAAAGCAACTTTCTTTCATTTAGCTTGACACTCAACAGCGTCTTAGGTGAAGGGTGAGACAAAGAACGGTTCGAAGGATCTTTCATGGCGGTTAAAACGAAGAGTCGGAGTACCCGGCCCGGAGGGTTACCGGGGTCCCACCCTGGAGCCAGGCCTGGGGTTGGGGCCCGTGAGCGAGCGCCTGGTGGCCGGGCTTTTGCCCATGGGGCCCGGCCGGGCCCAGCCCGAACCGGATACATGGGCTCGTCCAACTGTGGACCCACCACCCGCAGGAGGAACATGAAGGGTCCGGTGCAATGCGAATCGGGTGGCAGACCAAGGCGGGAGCCTTGGCGGTCCAATCCCCGGACAAGAAAACTAGTTTTTGGGACATGGAACGTCACCTCGCTGGCGGGGAAGGAGCCGGAGCTTGTGGCAGAGGTTGAGCGGTACCGGCTAGATATAGTCGGACTCACCTCGACACATTGCATTGGCTCTGGAACCCGAGACCTGGAGAGGGGTTGGACACTCTACTTTGCTGGAGTTGCTCCGGGTGAGAGGCGGAGGGCTGGGGTTGGCTTTTTGTTAGCCCCGAGACTCTCTGCCTGTGTGTTGGGGTTTACCCCGGGGGACAAGAGGGTAGCTTCCTTGCGCCTTCGGGTCGGGGAACGGGTCCTGACTGTTGTTTGTGCTTATGGGCCAAATGTCAGTTCAGAGTACCCACCCTTTTTGGAGTCCCTGGGACGAGTGCTAGATAGTGCTCCATCAGGGGACTCCATTGTCCTGCTGGGGGACTTCAATGCTCACGTGGGCAATGACAGCTTGACCGGGAGGGGTGTGATTGGGAGGAACGGCCCACCTAATCAGAACTCGAGCGGTGTTTTGTTATTGGACTTCTGTGCAAGCCGCAGTTTGGCCATAATGAACACCATGTTCGAACATAAGGATGCCCACCGGTACACCTGGTACCAGGGCAGCCTAGGTCACAGGTCGATGATAGATTTTGTAGTCGTATCATCTGACCTGCGGCCGTATTTTTTGGACACCCGAGTGAAGAGAGGGGCGGAGCTGTCAACTGATCACCACCTGGTGGTGAGTTGGATCAGATGGCAAGGGAACATGCCGCGTAGACCTGGCAGACCCAAACGCATAGTGAGGGTCTGCTGGGAACGCCTGGCAGAAGAACCTGTCAAGACGGTCTTCAACTCCCACCTCCGGCAGAGCTTTGACCACGTCCCGAGAGCAGTGGGGGACATTGAGTCCGAGTGGGCCTTGTTCCACTCTGCGATTGTCGAGGCGGCTGTTGCTAGCTGTGGTCGTAAGGTGGCCGGTGCCAGTCGTGGTGGCAACCCCCGTACCCGCTGGTGGACACCAGAGGTTCGGGGAGCCGTCAGGCTGAAGAAGGAGGCCTACAGGGCGTGGCTGGTCTGTGGGTCTCCGGAGGCAGCAGACAGGTACCGGATAGCCAAGCGGGGTGCAGCAGTGGCAGTTGCCGAGGCAAAATCTCGGGCGTGGGAGGAGTTTGGTGAGGCCATGGAGAAAGACTATCGATCGGCTCCAAAGAGGTTCTGGCAAACTGTCCGGCGCCTCAGGAGAGGAAGGCAGCAACTCGCTCAAACTGTTTACAGTGGGGATGGGGAGCTGCTGACGTCAACTGAGGCTATAGTCGGACGGTGGAAGGAATACTTTGAGGAGCTCCTCAATCCCACCAATGCGCATTCCGAGGAGGAACCAGAGCTGGGAGGCCTGGGGATGGACTGTCCGATCTCGGGGGCAGAAGTTGCTGAGGTAGTCAAACAACTACACAGCGGCGGAGCCCCGGGGGCGGATGAGGTTCGTCCTGGGTATCTCAAGGCTATGGATGTTGTAGGGCTGTCATGGTTGACACGTCTCTACAACATTGCGTGGTCATCGGGGGCAGTTCCTAGGGAGTGGCAGACCGGGGTGGTGGTCCCCATCTTTAAGAAGGGTGACCTGAGGGTGTGTTCCAACTATAGGGGGATCACACTCCTCAGCCTCCCTGGAAAGGTCTACTCCAAGGTACTGGAGAGGAGGGTCCAATCGATAGTTGAATCTCAGATAGAGGAGGAGCAATGCGGTTTTCGTCCTGGCCGTGGAACTGTGGACCAGCTCTATACCCTTGCAAGGGTGATGGAGGGGGCATGGGAGTTTGCCCAACCAATCCACATGTGCTTTGTGGATTTGGAGAAGGCTTATGACCGTGTCCCCAGGGGCACCCTGTGGGGGACGCTCCAGGAGTATGGGGTGGGTGGCTTTCTGTTAAGGGCCATTCAGTCCCTTTACCAGAGGAGCGTGAGTTTGGTCCGCATAGCCGGTCGTAAGTCGGACCTGTTCCCAGTGAGGGTTGGACTCCGCCAGGGCTGCCCTTTGTCACTGGTTCTGTTCATCACTTTTATGGACAGAATTTCTAGACACAGCCGTGGTGTGGAGTGTGTCGAGTTTGGTGGCAGGAGAATCTCGTCTCTGCTTTTTGCGGATGATGTGGTCCTCCTAGCTTCATCCAGCTCTGACCTTCATCTCTTGCTGGGTAGGTTCGCGGCCGAATGTGAAGCGGCTGGGATGAGGATCAGCACCTCCAAATCTGAGACCATGGTTCTCGACCGGAAAA